CATTGGCATGCACAAATTGAGAACGGTTGGTTAAAAACGATTCTATCCAGCGTAGCACGTTCGGATCAATATTGAGGTTGCTAAGTTTTAATAGGAGTAGCCGGTGAGAAACTTTATCGAAGGCCTTAGAGAAATCAAGCTTTATTAAAATGGCTTTATTAAATTGCAATAAAAACAATAAAATGAAATCCCGAATTATACAAATAGCTACAGTATTATAAATAATTGCAACAAAACCTTTATTAACTTGGATTCGGATGAAAAAATTTATACACCACTTCGAGACCTAAGAATGCACCAGAGTTTCGATTTACCATAACCTGAGCGTGCTCACTCGCTTCAGATGATTTTTTTTGTACAGATGTACAATACTTTATTAAAATGTAACATAGAGAATAACAACAATGCAGAAACAACAGAACACAAGCAACGCTACATATCTGTGCAAAAACTAAGTAACACTTGTAAAACCACTCGCCATCATCACAAGTTTAGCAATCTCTATCTCAGTGCAGATCGCCTCGCGAACCGAAAGCCTAATTTCTCAAACGTTTGAAACAGACTAGTTTAGTATATGATACAAGAACAGGGCGCTTGGCACCCTAAAAATACTCATTCATAATACTTGATCCCACTATTAAGTCGTCTTTGTTTTTTCTTTTTTTCTTTTTTCGCTTGTGAGTAGAAAAAAAATACCGTTCTCTAAAGGCCCGTTCACACTCTTGCGACTGCTTGCGACCTCTTAAACCTGGGTTCCTTAAAACTTCTTAAACCAGAGAACACACTGGCGCCATCTATTGGGAAGCAGTGTAAACTCGGCGGTCCGGCATATTTTTTTTTTTATTTCTCGCGCAATATCCTTTCTTTTTTGGCTCGAAAAACTTTTGTCAATGTTATAAACGAGCCTTTCTATGGGTATTACGCACATTTGACCTCGGAAATCCCGCAAAACCTTCGCTTTTGTGAAATGCAGTTCTAGGGTCACCGCATAGATGGCGCCACAATGTCAGTGTGTTCCCTCATTCTAGAAACATCTAAGAAGTTGTAAGAGATCTCGTCTCTCTCAGTCGTACTCGGTCGCAAGAGTGTGAACGGGCCTTAAAACGTAGGGCTTATACCTAGGTCAACCGTTCCCAACGGCGGTTCACCTTAGATAAAAATAAGGTAAGGGTGAGGCTCTGAAAGGCAACATTACTTTATCCCTGCCTACCCTTCCCCCTCCCCCTTCTCCCGGTGGGAGGGTATGCTGCACAATTAAGAAAATAAAAGATAACAAATGGGAACTATTAAAAAGCAGTGACATTATGCAAAACGCGGTGTTCACTGAAATTCTGCTCGAAGGAGAAACAGCATGTAAGATTGCATCACTCGCACCTTAGCTAAACTAACCCATATACAGCTTAGCAAACAACGTTTATGATTGAATAACGCTATATCCGTAACACGAAGCTATTTTGGAGCCCCCAAATGTTGTTAATAATCTATTTTTGTAATATAGTAACTGAAGACGTTCGTCTACATAAAGAACTTGACCACATCAGATCATTGCAATACTTCAGGGCATTAAATATGCGTGCGTTTCCTTCGAAAATGTCATTTTACTTTATTTATAAAGCCGGTGAGGTCTTCTTTGTATGCTTTTTTTTTTTTAAAGAACGTAGCAATCTTGTTATCAATCGTGATAGACGCCGGCGTTCGCCGTTATTAAAAATTTAACAATAAAATCTCGGAATTTTTTTTTGTCTTTGTTTTGGTTTGCATATTAAGCTAACAGTTCGAAATATTTACTATTATAACTTTGAAGACGGAATATCCCCATAAAGGGCAAATAGAAAGTCAATGTCAGTGCTTGACTCGCAGAAACACGGATCGTCGTCTCAGGTAAAACTAGAGTGAGGCAATGATCCCTGAAAAGCGTTGCGAAAAATACCAGGTTTGACTTGAAGCTTTTAGAAACGCTCGGGACTTGATAAGCCCTGACTTGATAATTATGATCAAAATTAACTAAAAAATAAGTCTTTGAATGAGATAAGAGATGGAGCTGATTTGTTAATTTTATTATCCTATAGTAGCTGCTCATTAACTTCGAGTAAGCCATTAGTAGAGCTCTCAGTGTTTAACTCGAGCCAAATAATCGAATGAGGAGTTAGAGTACCCGGAACGTAAATTCGGTTATATAGCCTCCACTCGCATACGCGACGCAACGAAATTATGGCCCTATTAATGCTTAAAACAATAGCGATAATGTTTTTGTTTGTTTTTTCGAAGCGTTCTGAATCCGATAAAATTATCTAACGCCGTGACGCCCGATTTCCTCATGGGTATATAGACACGCAAAGGCCTTAATTTAATTGCGCGGACATTATGATTATTTTTTGGCGATTACCTTCGTAGGAGCCTGCGGTACACAAGCTACGAATATTGTATACGAAACGGCACTCGATGAGTCTGTGCTCGAGTCGTATTTGTAAGTAAATGTCCGCAACCTTCACGCGGAATGTAATCCGAATTCCAATGGTCATGAAGATGAAAACTTTACAATAAAGCGTAATTAATGTAAGTATTTTATTAATATTAACGTTGGTGTATATGTAAAAGTTGACACCGTAAGCCTCCTCATAATTCTATTAAAATTGTTCTGCCCGTGGGACTGAGAGATTTCCGGGGCAACGAGCACAGGGAATTTACGTGAAAAACAATTACCAGAAAATACGAGTAACTACATTTATTACAATTATATTTGGGTGGAGCAATTTGGATGCTAAAAAACTACGTTAAAAATTTAACTTTAAACGTTTTCAATAAAATGAAGAGTAAATAACAAAAGCGTTATATTGAGATTAGCCTTGGGCATAGGTGTAAAAGTTGACACGCAAGTGTCTAATTTTTTTCTCTCGTTGTTTCATTATTTTATTTGTGAGCCTAAGAGATATAGTGGCAATGATAATCAAAAAAGTATCATAAAAATTAAAAAAATGAATTCGTAAAAAATAGAATTGACGGCAAACTTACTTAAATTCAAGACCAAATTTTCTGTTCCTGTTTTAAATCAAATTATGAGACCACCAAACCCAAAACAAAATTGTCAGATCAAAACCCCTACAAGATAAGATACATTCGAATGCAAGAAAGTACCGCAATTTACGGACACTAGTCCAGACCCGGTGTGCAATCCGAAAAAGGCAGGCTCTGGCTGAGACATACCTTACCTAGCACACAAACCCAGTTAGGTGTTTACTTCATTCATGTCGTAGTACCGCTTAAAACTATGCCGTTAATATTTTTTTTTTCACAAGATGCACCTTGTTGAATAATATAATGTATTCTTTTCGTGGTCTTATTGTTTTCATCAGAGAGTTTGTACAGAAACGCGAATCAACTTGAACGTTCTTCTTCATTCTGGAGGGACTGCGACTGCGGTTCTCGAAAGGCTTTGCAGTCGCTTAGTGATCATTTTTCAACCGCAATCAATGGGTTTTGGGGTCATCAGGATCAATCTTGGCGCTTGGGTTCAGACCTCGCGCGTCAACCGTGTGGGCATCGATGGCGAAGGCAAATAAATCCTATGCTGTCTTAACTTTTCTGGCTGAAAATTGCCCATCTCAAACGACCTGATCGCGACTATCGCACTGGGCGACAAGTGCTCCAATATTGAGAGGGATTCAAAAAGCAAACCTTGTAAAGTTTTCACAGCTACGAACGTTTAAACATGAGGAATCCGCAGATTATTTACCGGACAACACCGTACTTAAATTAACAAAAAAATTCGCTAAAATTGAATTCGCACTTTTGGTCAGGTACCTGCGAGAATGACTAACAGCTATACTCTGGAGTTGTCTAAGTAAAGTAACGTAGCGGAATTAATTGGTCAAAATAAAATTGGAAGGTACATTATATTTTAGGCGTTTACGCTTTCCCAGTAAATTCCTTCTCTTTTAGATAAAGTTAATAAAAGCAGTGCCTGCACATATACAGAAAACCAATTCACTTGACGTGCATGATGAGCATAGCTAATAAAAACGTTCAGTAATAAATAAATTAATAAAAACGACCCAGAAAAAAATTGTAAACCAATATTCATATTGTTCGATTTCTAATAATTACTGCCTCATCTCTTCATATGTATTGAATAAAAAATATCATTACTTTTGTTGCTAAAACAAAAAGATTATCACAACTTCCCTGTAGATATCTTAATTATTCTTACGTAACGTCTCAATCAGTATTTTCCACTCATTCTGATTTGCCAATCAAGAGTAAAAGACGCATAAATGAGAATGATTGTCGTAATTAAGAGAGAATAAAAAAACAGTGTTTGACCACGAAATGTAACATATATGTGCAAATTTATAGCGTGGAAAACAAGTACAAGAAAAAAAAAAGCATCCCCAAAATACTTGTGATCTCAATGAACGTGGACATTCTTCAGCAATCAAATTTATCGTCAACCCTCGAATGTCCTTACTGAATGCCCTTGCCGATGCCTCGGATGAAAATAGATAGTATGGAAATTACACTTTCTTAGTGGCTGCTAATGAATTTAACTTACAAATAAAAATTAACTTCGAAGGCCATTGCTTATGCTGCCCACAAACCGATAACGCTCAGGTGTGTTACAAACATCCGACTTCCTCAGAATGCCGCCTTATCGACGATTAAAATCAGCGCAAACAAGACGAAGGACAAGAGGAGAGGTAAAGAAACAAAGTGCTGCTTTTTTCCCTTCGTCTTGTTCGCGCCTTTTTTAATCGTTAACATGCGAAACCAACTCGCCCAAGTCTTCAACCTACTTAAATGCCTTTTTGTTGCCTAAGAAATAATATCAATCTTAACTTAAACAACCATCTTTTAAATACAATTTTAAAAAAAGGTAATTGCACTCATACCGACGCGTCAAGCATCCTCGTCGCCAACCCTCGCTGCATCAACCCCATATATACTTTGACTTAACGAATAGCGAAATTATCCGTGCCACCCTAAACCAAAAGGGGCTAGTACAATCAGTAATACAAGGGTCCGCCGTAGCCGACGCCATGTCCGATGCCCTGGCCGATGCCGTATCCCCCGTAGCCTCCGTAGCCGCGGTTCAGCGACCCTCCGTAGGTACCCAGACCGCCGCTTCCGTAGTTCCCGTAGCCCTTGTTCTGGTACGCCTGCGTGCCGTACCCGTTGAGGTGGCCGTAGTTGTTGTAGCCGTTGAGGCCTTCCCCGTATGTGTTGTGCGCCTGCTTGCCGTAGTTCCCTTGTCCGTATCCCTTGAAGGCGCCGTACTTCTGGTTTCCAAACTGGTTCACCTTGTCGTGCTTGCCAAAGCCACCCTGACCCGTGAAGCCTCCGAGGCTTCCGAAGCCCAGGTTAAAGGCGTCCCGGTTTCCGTTCTGGAAGCTCTGGTCCACGGCGTACACCTTTTCCTTGGCGAACACCTTAATAAACAATAATAATACTATTATTACTAATATTAATAACTCTATTTCCATCGATTATAAAGGGGACCCAAGGAAAAAAAGAAAAGCTGTTGTGTCCAGCTTGACAAGCCCTCGGGCCCCTACAATAGTGAAGAGTGGAGAAAGAGCACACATACAAAAATAAGATACACACTAGAAATATCTGGTTAAAAAATGAAAACAAAAATCATAGACCTACTCTCTAAAGTTCTTTTAAGCGCTCCCTAAATGGGTTCTTCGGGGAAAACCTAAAGACGCTTTACACACGCGCCAAATTACAGCCGCCATTGCTGACCTTCTCTTGTCTTACCGAGATGGCGAGCAACTGAAACGGTAGTTGACGATCCTCTACAAAGGCCGATGCTTTAGAAAAGGACACAGTTGAATCTGATATGGCAATCACCTGGACTGCTATGGTAATGATGAAGTGAAATAAACGAAATAAGAGGAAACAAAAACTGAAGGTCAGTTATGGCGGCGTCCATGAAGAGTTGCTGCAAAGCGTCTATAAAAAGTCATTTTCAGCTCCTTTTTTTTTATGCGAAAGAGGTTTTTATTGCCAGGTTGTCTTTCTAGTACGCCAGGGGGTGATAGTGCTTGAAGAGAGACCGTTCTTCAGGAGCACAAAGAGTTCTTGGGGCGTCAGAAGAACGTTTCAAGAACGTTTTTTTTAAGTGTAGAAAAACAGGAGAAAGAAAAACTCCGTTAAATTTGTACATTTCGCGACAATTACACAACCTTAAATCTTTGAATGTAAGACCGTCTAGATACACACTTTTATACGTAGGTTGTTCAATAAATTTTTTGTTCCATGAAGGTTGTTCAATAACCTAGATTGTGAGTTTTTAGTTTTTATAATACAAGTACGAAGTCGATAGTGATATAATTTAAAAAAACACATAAAATATTGCATCGACAATAAAAGATAAGCAATTAAGTAACTCAACTAAACGCCAAAAAGGCGGTAAAGAAACGTGACATTTTTGACCCTGGAGAGTGGGGGACAGAAGGACAGGACAACACGAATTCCGAAACACATCTCTGAAAAAGCTGTTTTTGGATATTTCTGTTCTCCTGCCTTTTGGTTACCTCTCCAAGAATGCAGCCCCCAAAGCCATTAAGGAAGCTTACATGTTGTTTGTATCATATATTAGTTTATTACAGTATGTAAATATATTTAACGAGAACCTAAGAAAGGTCTATTTTTACCTTATTGTAGTGTACTGCAGCATCATGATTGCATCAGAACCTCTGCCACTTTCCCTGTCATCGGAAAAACGGCGCGCTGAGGGGCATACAGTGATGCCATTACCCCGCAATAATAGGGGGGCATAGTGTATTTTGCGTTTCTTACGATGCAAGAATCTATAGAAAAGAACGAAACAAAGTTCCAGGAACTATAGCACAGGGGCTACGTTCTGTCGAGGTCAGAAAGAAAGGTATCTGCGTTGTGTCGCTCAGTAACGTTGCCCTTGCTATCGGTCGCTTCTGAGAGCTCTCTGTCGATGATGCGAGTACCCAGCTGCGAGTTTCCAGCGGCATTCCCGGTCTCTCAAGCAAAGCACGCTTCTCCGATGCCCTAGAAAGAGAAACTTGTAATCGCTTCGTGCCCAACGCAATGCCGGGTTATTGAGTTATCGAACTTCGGAGCACCGCAGTACCGGTGTTTCAGCAGAAGAGCTAGGACGAGTATTAACACAAAACGAAAAGACGTATTTGATCGAAGGCAATTCCTTCCCTGGTCGATAAATTCCCAATCCTTATAATCGACCTGAATTGTCTCGATTCATGGAAAGCTGCGGTTACGTTCCCCGTCCCCTTCATAATGAACGTTTTTTCTAGCTGCCTTTGAGTCCCAGGCATTCAACGCGTCGCATCTCTGTCCATTTCCGGTAAGTTTATGAATAAAAACGTTCCAAATATCTATATATTGGCCGACGACGCAAATGCTGTGCGCCAACTATTTTAGCGCTTGTTACTCTGTGTCACAGCACAACTGACGCGCTTGTCGCATCCTCAAAAGTAGACACCCCAGATGGTTCGAAGCTTTTGACGTTTATGGTTTACTTTCAGAAAAGAAAAGTTTGTTTTCTTTTCCGAGAAAGAAAAGTTTCGTTACCACCCCGGCAACGCGCACATGCACGCGACCGACACATTTGCATAGGTGGTGTCCGCCATGAAATTGCCAACGCTCTCCATATGGTTCGAGTGTCTTAAATCTGGGTCAACAGAGCAGCTAGCGCGTCACCTTGTTGTGTCCCGCGTTGAACTGGTCCTTGGCGCCTCCCTTGCTGGCGAAGTTCTTGTTCACACCACCCTGGTGGTTGTAGCCCGTGGCGCCCGCCACGCCGTGCAGGCCGTGGGCGACCAGCTGGTCGACCCCGCCCTGGCCGAGGCCTTGGTTGCCGAAGGCCGACACGGCGCCCTTCCCGTACGCCCCCCGACCGAAGCTGCCTCCCGCGAGGGCCTTGTTGTTGCCGTAGTTGCTGTAGCCGCCCACGCCCTGTCCGTAGCCAGCGCTGCCGTAACCACTCTGCAAGCCGCTCACTCCGTGACCGAGTCCGCCAAAGCCGCCGTAGCCTCCGAGGGGCAGCCCTCCGCCCACGAAGCCCGTGGCCGATGGCTGGAGGTCCACCTCTACTGCTGGTACCATGGTATCATTGCTGCCCGTCGAGGACAGTACTGGCGAAAACGAGGCTGCCAGGGAGGTTATCTGTGGCAAGGAAGGAATAACGGAGTGAACTGTACAGATGATATCGTGGATTTAGTCTAGAACAAAGGATCACAAACTGTACCGAACAAAAAACAAGATACACCTCGGATTGTTTTTTTTATCAATAATAATAATGTTTACAATAACATTTGGCAGCACCGAAGCGTTATAGCAGGTACAGCAGGCACAGCGAACAGAAAGGCAATACCAACTCAGTCCTTTAGAAAGAAATTTAGAAAATATTGAGGAAGATGAAAAAATGTCCATAAACAAGGTGTTAAAAACTAGACGTCAGGATCACCTAGATACATAGTTTGGTAATTGCGAATTATTAGTTTTACCAGTCGACTTCCTCATCGAAAACTTGAAACGAAAACCTCTATCGAAATTTCTTCTGTTTTAAGAATAAATGATTCGATTCATTTGATTGTTTTTTTCTCTGTTGCACTAATATTTCGAACATAATTTCCCGGTACAAAACTTGAGGAAAGTATTGAAGTTTTCTACTTTATCTGCAGGGTACATTTGTCGTAGAGGTAGCACAAAGCAAACGCTGTCGGTTTAAAAGAAAACATCTATAGGCGGTTTTCGAATTTTTCTTCAGCCCTCCGTAAGTTTCGAATGCTGAGACTATACCCTATCTCAGGAGTTGTGTGCAGCAAAGGCAAAAAGGGAATTGGCGCGGGCACGTGGCTTTCAGGTGTGCTTTCTTTCGCGAGTGCTTGCGAAAGGACAGCAAATAAAGCCAGGCCATCGCGCCTGTGCTGCACGCAATTCATGAGATGCAGTATATGGATCATGCCACAAAGTCTGTGTTTTATAGGTGACTAACTCTCTCAAGGACTATCCTTGTAATTCTCAGGTATGTGACATCAGTATTACTATTAATTCTTATTTATCGATAAAATAGTATAAGGGCGCAGCATTTTGTTTTGTCCGATAATTTACATGGAAACATTTGTTAACATGGAGACCCAGTTTCTAAACACTGAACCAATCTACAAAATTGTCCTCCTCAACATTTTTTGACGTAAAAGTATCGGCGCATGCATTAAAATGAGAATTGCAAGCGAACAAGGACAGACATTGCAATGCTCAATATTTTAGAAAAAATCCATAAAATATCAATAAGTTGGCATTCATACTTTTGGGCGCGTTTAAATTTTAATCCACGGCTTCATTTTTTTTTTGGCATTGTGTTTTATGGGTTACGTTTACAAAATTATAAATGTCTGCTTTTCTTGACAAAAGGTCGTAACGTTCCCGAGAACTGCCATTGCGTATGTATGACAGAACGCGAATGAAATGTACTTTTGATATTTCCTTGATATATTTCTATTCTACGAAATGTCCCGGAAAATTGGCCGTCCCAAGGTTATGTAGATTTGGTCTATTTCTCAGATTTGATTATTATTATGTAATTTCTATATCAAAATACTCTGCAAGCAGAATGTTTAGGAATCACTCTCTCATATGCTATTTCAGTCGTAAAATGCATCCTTCTTTCGAAATCACAGAAATGGTTTAGTGCCATGGATATTGGGTTAAAAACAGTTCATGCACTTTTCTCATAAATAAAAAAAGAGCTAGGAATTTTTCCGATACGCCCCCCTCCCTTTACTAATGATGACCGTCCGGACACTCTAACATTAGTATTTCCTCTTTCGCAAAATTTCTCTCTTTCTCAATGGTTCCTAAGAAACAAGAGCGCGTTTCCACCGATCCGTTTAACATTTGCACGTATATCCGCGCTTTTACCAAGATTTCCAGCACCAAATGGCGTTATGTAAGATCATTAGCTATCCTGGTCTTTCTTATTTGCTTGCGTTACGTACCTGTACTTCTCTTCGAGTGATTCAAACACATTCAAAGCAAAACTGTCTCAGGCGCTCCTCTTGAGTTAATGCATCGTTTCTCGTCGTTTTTCTCGGCGAAAGCCTCTTTTGCACTCGAGTATTTTTCTTTAGTTCTTCCTTGAAACGTGATTCAGCGTTCACTCTCGATCAATACTTTCTATGCATTATAGAGTTATACAAGATATTGCGGCTGACCCGTTCGTTTCATAATAATAAAAAAAAAAGCTCGGAATAAACTAAATAAAAAATTAATCAATAAAAACTTGCGGCAGATTAATGTTGTATCATCGACCGATCAAACATGGCGTTTCGATTAATCCAAACACAAAGGAGACACTTGACAGAAAGTTTAAATTTTGATCACCCATTTTCGGCTCTCTTTTTTTCTTTCTTCTGCGTTCGCTTCGTATTGGAATAATTTAGCCATCAAGCAAGTGCCACGTACTATCAATTAAAACGTCGGCCCAGAAGCAGCCATCATACTATCTGATCTTTTCGAAGCCCTCTCCCCTTCCCGCTCTCCCATACGTCAGTAAACCATCAATTAACTGGGGGCAACCAGTTTCTTGGGAATCGATCGCCGACAAGGGAGGAAGTAGACTTGGGCCTTTTATTAAATAGCTTATCAATACTCGCAGTCGAGAGCCTAGATTTAAGAGCGAGAGAGCAACTCGAGGCGTGGAGAACGTTGGCAGTCTAATGGCGGACACCTCCCGCTGAAGATTGGCCGCAATTAAGTGCGAGTGCGCTGGGTTTTCGCGCGGCGATGAGAAGTGGCACGTACAGGCGGGGACACTTGCAGACGATAAACGCGTTCGTCGCCTCTTCGCAGCTCGTATTGTGTACGCACTCTATTGGCATAGTGTCCACCCCCCCATTCCCCCCCAAAAAAAAAACTGCAGGTTTTTTTTTTTTTTTTTTTTACCGCAAAAACGAATTGCTTTGCGCCGAACGCTCATATTCACCGTCCAAATGTGGCGCGGGGATCGAACCAGATGCCAAGGTTTCACAACTAACCGTGATCTTATTAAAAGCTCATATGTGATTTTTTGAAAATTTCAATTAAAAAATGAAGCCGTCCCCCCCCCCCCCCCCCCGCCTTTTCTTTTCGTTTTTTTTTTGGGGGGGGGGGGGGTGGGGGTGGGGGGTGGTAATTTCCGCCATTTATTTTTATGTATTTGAGAGATCGTCTGGTCGCCATTTTCGAATTTAAGTTTTTAGAAAATCCCTTATAACTTTCGAATAAGATAATTGTTAACTTTGACACGTAGTTTAAGACATAGTTTATTTTGTTATAAAAATAAACAAAAGAAGACACTATCAAGGTTATGGGGAACGCCCTGTATATATTAGGTGAACTCGATCGGGCAGTTCGCAACACTCTGCAACCTCGGCACACTCTCCCACAGCGCCTAATACTGGACCGACTGGCCTAAGCGTCGGGCGCGCGGAATGCAATTTTAAAACCGCTAATTACTCTCGGTGATTTATTAGGCACGGCGCTAATTAGTGAACGTTCCCGGCGGTACACCCCGCCTTCCGGATGGCGAGTTTCGGCAGAAAAAAAATCAGATAGCAACCCACGTTTTTTTTTTTTTTGTTTTTGTTTTTCTTTTTTAGGGTTACGTAATACTTTAGGTTTGTTTGCTTTTTTTTAGGATAGCTCAATTCGAGGGGTAATTAACCAAAGTCCTTCTCGAGCAGCTGATACAAAAGGAGCACTCGAGACTTCGGAGAGAGGGAGAGTAAGGCATAAGTGCGCTTCTGATTGGGCGGTCGAAGAATGACGAAAACGGCGCCACGCCATAAACTGAAGCAAAGTGTGGTGAGAATGTTGGATGTGAGCAGAGGTTTTGGCTTCCCAATATTGCTTAAAAACAGTTTGCAGCGCTTTGTTCATACATGACAAAGGTGTCAAAAGTGAAAACAAATTGCCAGAGTTTTTGGAGCGGTAAATCTCGGTGCAGGGGTTTATGGCTCGTCACTTGTGTCGAGAATTGCATTGGTTGTTGCCACTGATCTTTATTGTAGTAGGCTGGATCGCGGATCGAGAGCCAGTCGGTGGCACCATCGGCGCCCATTGCTTGGCACCATGGCAATACACGCGAGTCTGTGGGGGAAACACGTAAAATAGGAATATGAAAGCTTCTACGTTGTGCTCGAAGGCGAGAGTTTTATGATGTGTTGCGATCATTATATCGGGTGCTTGGATATTGAATCTCCCTTTGTCAAGCGTTCGAACGGTGATTAAAAAAACACGATCAAATGATCCGGAGCACCACTGACTGTGCCGGCGTCGCTTGTTACAGTAGCTAAATAAATGACATGTTCAACAAATGAACGACACGCCCCGAGTTTTAGTTCGTCACAGAAGCCCTCATTGTGGTTAAAATAAAAAGCTTGCGCCAGAGATACTCTGTGCAAGCGCTTGAAACGATACAAATGCCCCCAGAAAATGTCGTCTAACTTACCTTCTACTAGGTTCGGATGACTTCGAGATCACGATTGACTCCACATTGATTCTCGGCAACCCTGGTCTTATGGAACCGCATCAGAATTTACGCCCAACAAGTCGCAACCTTCGACCCTCAACCACAAAACATTTCTTTAAAAAAGATTGGTATTCGAACGCTTCTGATATTGGCGCCCAGAATATCATCTGGCATTCTCGGAAAACACGGTAAAAGCTTTGTTTCCGAGAAAAACCTAGTAAGGTAAGAAATAGCAATTTTTCCCGTTTCTCCCATATAGTCCCATGCATTATCTGGTGTCAAGTCCCGGATGTGCCGCTCGACCCCAGCAAGTCAAGCTTCGATCCGCGATCCAGCCTACTACAATAGAGATAAGAGGCTGCTGCTACGGTCCCATGACTGCTCACGGCTCCTAGTGGGGGTCAGGTCACAGGTGCCACAAGTGGGGCCTGCGGCTGCGGTGACATTATTGCTATGGCTACAGAAGGTTATAATTAGGATTCTGTGTTTTCAGAGTTTCTTTCTCGTGAAATTCGGATGGAGACTTTCGGAGTTTAGCTGTACCGAATTCCAAATATTTTTTTTTTGTTTTAATTCAGAGTTTAGTTGTATG